TGTCCCCAACATTGTTCCAGGTGTTGATCAACGATCTGTTGAAAGTCGTAGAAGCAGTCGGGAAGGGAGTCTAAGAAAAGAAACCAAGGATAAGGAGGGCCTAGAAGTGGGTGGAATGTTGAAGGAAGGAATAGAGTTCAAGGGCTGCCTACGTGGACCAACGGATGCCGGGACAAAGCTTAAGGTCAAATTCAGGACCAGGGACATTGGCCTCCGATAACGTAGACGAAGATTTCGGAAGGTAGACGATGGAGACGACAAGTTCACATGTGATTGCGGCTCTGAGTGCGAAGACCGTGCAATTGCGGAATGTCAGTTGGAGAAGGAGAGGGAAGAGTAGAAGGAAGGTACAGGGAGATGTTTGAGGCATGGAATAGCCAGGATCAGACGATAGCTACACTGGGTATAGGAAGTGGGTTGAAAAGGCGGGAAGTGGTATCGATAGGATAGATAGACGAGGGAAGATATTTTTGAGCCACCGTTGGCAAAATCGGAAGGAACGATTGGCCATCGGTGATCGGTCCTGTGGGAACAATGCTCCGTCCTCTCGAGGACGCGTGGTCAATGGAAAGTCTTCAAGCAGTACCTGAGTGAGGCGTCTGAGGAGAGTTGGGAAAAGTACAGGGCCAAGAGAAAACAGGTGAAGGGACTAGTGAAAAAGAAGAAAAAGTGCATTGAGACGCACTAGTGCAGAAGGCCAGCGGAGGCCTGGAGGGAAACGTCAAGCAGTTGTAGCAAGGGATGAGCGGGGTGGTAAAAAAGACCGCGAAGGGGGGGGATACAGGGGTAGCAACTTTGCGAGGTGTGAACGGTTGACTAGTCAGCAGTGGGAAGGGAAAAATGGAAGTTCTAGCAGCACACTACATGAGCTTTTGACCAAGTGTTTAAGGAGGTGGACGCATGGGCCCAGGAAGAAGAAGAAACATCCAAGGCAGACGTTAGGAACTTAGAGCTAGAGAAGGAGTTCACAGAGGACGAGGTTGAGACTTGTGTGAACAAGCTGTAGCGCCACAAAGCAGCAGGGGCGGATGGAATAGTAACGAGTTCATGAAGCTTGGGGGGAAGGGAATGATCCAGCTGATGATACTGCAGTACAACTAAGCGTGGAAAAACGAGTATGCGCAAAGTAGATGGAGAGGTGGTTGTTAACTTGTTTAAGAAAGGAGACAAGACTGACCCAGGAAACTACAGGGGGATCACACTGAACACAGTAGGAAAGTATTCTGTAAGCTGCTAAACGATACGATAGCGGGAGTATTGGAGGAGGAACGTAGGATAAGTGAGGGCCAGGCAGGTTTCCGAAAGATGAGGGGGTGGGTAGACCACGCATTCACGATAGGGAGAATCATCCAAGGTAGACAGAGGGCGCGAAAGCTGACGTACTGCTTCTTCCTGGACGTGCAAAAGGCATACGATACAGTATGGAGAAATGCGCTGTGGAAACGATTGTCCAAGCACGGGATCAAGGGGAAAATGTGGAGAGTGCTGACGACGATGACAGAGTGTACGAAACGCGCTGTCATGCTAGCCGGAGAGCTGTCGGAATTCTTCAACATTGAGCAAGGGGTTCCACAAGGTTGCACGTTGTCCCCAACATTGTTCCAGGTGTTGATCAACGATCTGTTGAAAGTCGTAGAAGCAGTCGGGAAGGGAGTCTAAGAAAAGAAACCAAGGATAAGGAGGGCCTAGAAGTGGGTGGAATGTTGAAGGAAGGAATAGAGTTCAAGGGCTGCCTACGTGGACCAACGGATGCCGGGACAAAGCTTAAGGTCAAATTCAGGACCAGGGACATTGGCCTCCGATAACGTAGACGAAGATTTCGGAAGGTAGACGATGGAGACGACAAGTTCACATGTGATTGCGGCTCTGAGTGCGAAGACCGTGCAATTGCGGAATGTCAGTTGGAGAAGGAGAGGGAAGAGTAGAAGGAAGGTACAGGGAGATGTTTGAGGCATGGAATAGCCAGGATCAGACGATAGCTACACTGGGTATAGGAAGTGGGTTGAAAAGGCGGGAAGTGGTATCGATAGGATAGATAGACGAGGGAAGATATTTTTGAGCCACCGTTGGCAAAATCGGAAGGAACGATTGGCCATCGGTGATCGGTCCTGTGGGAACAATGCTCCGTCCTCTCGAGGACGCGTGGTCAAAGGTCTAACCGCTATGGTTTGCAAAACATGAGAGTACCGCCCCCCGCCCCGGTGTGTTTTTTTCACTATACAAGGTTGTGCTCGTTTTGTCTGCGATTCAATGTTGCTGTGGTGCAACCATTGCGCTTCATGGCGCTCGCGGGGATTGTGAACCAAACCGTAACAGGGGCGTATTGATGTCTTCACCAAGAACTGTGCGAACAACCTTCGGTCCCTTCCTGGATACTCGACAAAAACGAGTCATGCCAGGGACAGCAAGCCCTATCTGTGACGCACGGAAACACTAGAAAGTCGACCCGCTCCCTTAACGTGTCTTTCCACTGGTCTCGAGCAAACCTGTCCCGTCCCCCCTACCAGCCGCTCAGGTGTTGTTATCCACGCACCCGCGCACCACTGTAGAACACCGGAGGTCCCACTCTTCAAACCACTAGCGCGGGGCATTTCTCGAGGACTCGTCTACCCTTTCTTCCTCCCACCTCAAGTCTGCCACAGTTCCCGATTCTTCTTTGTGCTGCCATAGAAACTAAATCATCTCAGCAACAACCCGGGTTCCAGGGGGGTGAAATACTCTGCTTGCGGTACCAAGGGGGCGTTTTTCTTCTTCGGCACACAACAGAGGAGCCGCGTATTGTACAACCACCGAGAATCCAGTAAATATGTTTTCGCTCCAGTGCTGCCTTTAATGTCTCGCCGGTCTTCCTCGTCCCTACGCGACTCCCAAACTCTTGCTTTGCACGTGCATACCACCAGCGGTACTTCTCTCTCCCCCTCCCCCCGCGCGCGATGCTTCTGCTCACGGCGTGGAGGGGGGAGAAAGGGTTCCCCAATCAGTTGTATTATTTTTGTGACCATCTCGACGACGAGTAGCGCACCCTGCTCGCCGCACTCGCTCTTTTGCTCTAACGTGTAGCGCATCGCATATATCACGTGTAGATATTTTTGTATCCATACCATCACCTTACGGCGGTGCGGTGTGTGATGAACTACTTACGATACAGGTCCATTCCACTACATTAGACTATCGTCTGCTGTCGACTACATGAAGACCAACATTTAGGGGAAACGCAAAACCGTGTACAGTCTAGGTAGTTTTCTTCCCACGGGATAAAATATGAGCCGCAATATTTCGTACCTCTTGATATCCAGTTTTGTTTTTTCGCCTTGCACTAGTTGTTCTCTGCTGCAATAGTGGCCTTGCATCGCAATATCTTTGTGTCCTGGACTGCACCTTTCATCGTGTTGTCTCTGCCCAACGTACAGAAAATTCGCAACCCAACGGTTTCTCACCGATTTAAAAAAAAAAGACCATCGCGCGCGCGCCTCGTCTCACTCCTGACGTTGCACCGTAGGGCGCAGGAACACTGCGCCATTCTCCTCTGCATGCTTCCCGTCTTATGTACATGACCGCGCCAAGACGCCAGCACCGGGGCGCGCGCGGTAATATCGTTCGATGCACGCATCATTCAGACCCGAGATCCGCATGGGCTGATCCGGAACTAATTTGCGGCGTAACTTGGCGCTCTAGTTGCAGGATATCTTGGTTTTTGTGTGGCCAGGCCCCTTCAACTTGAAGTATTGAGTTCAACATCTGAAAATACAACGATTATTTTTTTTCTGGAAGATTTTGGGTGCAACAGCGGTTGTTCTCTGCTCTCTGCCTTCCGCGCCCACCTTGTTCACTTCCACAACATCAACCACTCCGACCTCTCTCCACCGTGCACACTTCCTCTTCCTTATATCCAGCATCATGAAGTCTGTCGCTTTCTTCGTCGCCCTCTTCGCCGCCACGGATGCGTGGAGGACGGTCGAGGTGGCCGAGCCCAGCTTCGGGTCGAGGTTCACGTCGATCAAGGAAGAGGCGGACCGCTTCTCGGCGGCCTGCAGAGACGTGCTCAACGGGGAGGGACCCACCTTCACCATCGACGTCTCCGACCACTCCCTGAGCGACGGTGTAGGTGAAGAACCCTTTGCCTGTGTGTTGTGGACTCGCGCCACCCCTCTGGTGGTGGAAGTTTTCGTGCCGCATCTGCCAGCTCTTTTTTTGCTTTTCTGGAAACGGATGCCAAAGCGGCACCGCTACCCCGGCGGGCATTGTTGTTGTTGCACATGTGCATCCTTCGTGCGCGGGAGGCGCCCAGCTACCAGCTGGCATGCCTGGTATCTCTCTTCCCAACTACTACGCTGGTTCGCGAACACAGCTAGTAGGAGTAGCAAGACAGTCAACATGCCACCATGTCTAGGAATGATCACACAAATAGGGCGAAGAGTGAGCTTTCGGATCTCAAAAGATGGGCCAACCAAGGTTGAATATCTTGTCTACCCGAGCGGGCCCAGCAACTAGGCCTCGATAGCGCACTGCGGTGAGCATGTTCGTCTGGTCATGGTAGGCTCCCAGGCTGTGCACTTGGAACTGATTCCAACGTTGACCACCGTCTCCTTGTTTTTCGATCACGGGAATGACGCATGAAAACTTCTGTAGAGATACAGCAGATGATGCGGCACGCGTCCATCCGCCAGCCAGCGCGCATGTTCCTTCAAAAGGCTTGCTCTGAAGGACCCGTCGGTCAGCAGTAGATCGATGGATGAGAGAAGAGAGTGTTGCCGGTCGGCGTATCACGGTCTGTCGCACTGATGCTTATAGAAAAAAGTATCCTTTGTGTGTGGCGAAACACTCCTCGGTCACGCTTGAAGTTCGAAACCACGCGCCAAAAACATATGATGCCCATTCGGTGTCCATTTACCCTCAGTTTACCGCATCGATGAATGTTCCCAGTGAAGCCAGAAGCTGAGCTCTCTTCCCATGTTGCTGCGCGTCTTCAAGCCCCACTTGCCGACGATCGCACGCACTTCCAAGTGCTTCTGGCTCGTTCTTTCCCGGACCGCGTCTATCGTTACATGTTCGTTCGACAAATGTTTGATGTTGAACCTGAAGTGAATCTTCATGAGCGTGACCATGCGCGCGCGTGCAAGCTGGCCTGAGAATGCATGGGTGTAGAACACACTTATTTAACCAATGTCTACCCAACCTTAACCTGGACTCCCGCCGCCCCGCACTGCTTGTGGCACAGGTTCGTTGAACCTTGAGGGCAGATTCCAGAGGGAGGTGGTGGACAACGTGGACTGCGGTGTAGTCTACAAGTTTAACGAGTGAGTTCCTCGTCTTGCAAGATCAGTTTACGGTTGGTTGTGCTTCTTCGACACGCGCCTGCCCGTACCGTATCCTAAAGGTGTAACGGAACGCACAAGTACTCAACACCATTATCGACAATAATATCGTTGGGTTTGGGACAATATTCTTTGGTCCTCTCAGAAGAACTCTTCCATCGAATTTCGGAGATAAAGTGCAGTCACGGAGACAGATCGCGGCCTCGAGAAACGTTTTTTTATTTTCTTTTATGTCACAAGAAATCCATCTCCGTAGCGTGAGCGAGTCGTTCAAAGACCTTGCAAAACAATTTGATACGCCATATGACACGAAACTTTCGGATGGCAGGCCAAGCGAATCATGTGATGTACGATTTGACTTTTACGTCGATGGATATCTGTACGCTCTGGGTGGCAACCATAGATCTACAGCTCTCCTGGGTATCTACATCGGAAGTACTACTACGACCTTGGACCTCACTGCGTACTCTTTTCCACTTGTTTTCGATTTGGCAAATCAGGCTGAGATCCATCGTGTCGTACATAAGGCACGTTCGCTCCGTGTGTCGGCTGAAACAACCAGCAGTTTCGAACCACTCATCTAACAAACCTCCCCGCCCCCCGAACAACAATACAGGCGCCGCGGGATGCCCACGTCCCTCTGGGTCAGCACCACCCAGGACCTCGGGGATGACATGACGGCGAACCTTCGCGCCGACATGGACATCGACTCCAAGAACGCCGTGATCGACTGCCGCGTCAACAGCGGCCGTGACTCGGTGGCCGTCGACTTCGACACCGCCGATAGCACGATGGGCCCGCTCCGCATCACCAAGCACCTCGACCTCAACGGCCGCAAGGTGGGAAAGCTACTGCTGCTGAATATATTATACTTTTTGTGTGTTGAGTAGTTTGTTGCCACGAGTGCTGCTGTGGTACAGTATAGTGCTACTGCTCCGTCTGCTTGTGTCGTGTTCTCTGTTGCCACGAGTTGTGCTGTGATGTACCGCTGTGGTGGAAGCGTCGGTGTTAGTTTGAAACCCTGCAGGGCAGAAGACTGTACTCCAGCCCGCCCACAACGGTGGGAAGTTGTCGGGAATGCCGCAAGAACCCCTCATTAATAGAAGCAACGCTGAACACAATCCGACTATCAAATGTCTCAACGCCGTCCTCTTTTACCCCGTTCGCACGTTTTTTGTGTACTCTACTGCATGGTGGTATTTTTCTCTAGGTGATCGTCCAGCCCACCGTGGACGTGCAGGGGAAGACCGGCGAGGTTGTCATCGCGGCCGAGCTTGACGGCGACGTAACCTCCGCGGAGCTCACGGTGAACCACGCTGAGGACTCTGCCGTCCTCGAGGTGTGCCACCGGTTGGACGACAACAACGTCATCTCCCCTAAGGTCGACCTCAAGACTGGCGACATTGCGGTGCGCCTCAACCGCTCGCTGGGCGACGCGCGGGCCGTTAAGTTCACCGCGCAGAGGGAGAACGTGGACTGGGAGTACCTCGAGGGCCCGTGGGTGGTGAAGGGCAACGTACCGCTCACCAGCGACGGCTCGACCGGAGCCATCTCGTTCAAGCGCTCCATCACCCTCTAACTAATAAATGAGTTTAGCACAAGTGATGGATGAATGAATAGATTTGATGGAGAGAATAGATGAATGGTGATGATGCAGTTTGTTCGGGTGTTGGTGCTTCCCAGTCGATCGCCCCTGCTGTTGTAATCATTATTGGCATCACTCTGTTGGGTCAGTTGGTTTTTGAAGTCGTTCGCGCATTCGATTTTCGGGAGAGGGCGGGTGAAGGGGACTTCATCGAAGTCAACCAGTCTGCCGCGTTTTTGGTTTCCGTATTTTTTTCGTTTGTGCTCGTCAATGACCACCACCGGCAGTTGTGGTTGGGTCGGGCGAGATACCGCAAACGAAAAATCCTTGCGATGGCCGGCAAACCTTAACCGGCCATTTGGGATTCGTTCCGAGTGTGGTTTTACCGTGCGAGAGAGTGGGGCGAAGAGAAGTGGTATACTTGCCTTTTGTAGAGTTGACTAGGCCGTGCGGCGGGGTATTCAAAAACGCTTGGTTCTGCTATGAGTAGATCGCAAGGCTGACGTTTTGTTGCCCTACCTTGCCGACCAGCAATGTATTTTCGAGCTGACTTTGAGTGATGGTATACCTAGACTAGAAGCACGAGTTTAAGAGGGTAGGGGCACGGCGAGATTCCCCGCACTCCGTGATGTGTAGAATAGAGGAAAGTGATTGATCTTCTATAGTAACGGTGTAGAAAAATGAAAAAACTTTTTTATTTTAATACAGCAAGCGACACGGGTTGTTTATCCTCGAGGTTTGTTTGTCACCCCAGAATGTGACTTCCACGCTGGCGCATCATGACACTGCGTGAAGACGTTCGCAAAGACTGCCGCCGCCGGCAGTCTTCGCGGACAAACCCGAGAAAAAATGGTTCGTTCCATGTTGAAAAATGAAGCGTAACGCTAAAAAAAAAGACTTTTAAACACCTGGCCCTTAGCAGGCTGCGAGGCTACCCAGCGGTCCATGTTGAAAAATGAAGCGTAACGCTAAAAAAAACAGACTTTTAACACCGATCGCTGGGTAGCCTCGCAGCCTGCTAAGGGCCATGGGTTCGATTCCCGACAGAGTTGAGTTTTTTCTCGCTATTTAAATCCTGGTCTCGTTGGAAGCTACGCGCTGCGAAGCTCGTTTGTTAGTAAACTTGATCGACTTCATAAGTTGCGAGTGAAGGGATTGTTGTGCCCTTCTCGCGATAAAAATACCTCAGGCAGAAACCGCAGGAGGGGGTCCAACCCCCCCCTCCTGTATGTGACCCCAGTTGGGTCGTCTACATGTAGCAAGTGAAGCACAGGGGCCAGAGGGGCAGACGACAGAGTCCAATGATGCGAGACCAAAAAAAAATAGAACTGTGTAGATTACTCGGGGCAAACACACGCGCACCCGAGACAACGACCTCAACAAATAAATCCAGTCGAGCATGAATGAAAGTGTGTGGAAGGTGGCAGGCGACTGACTGCACTCACTGTACTGACGTTTGATGATAAAACCCCCGTTGGAATACAGGTCTACTATTTAGTTGCGCCCGTTGGGTCGGAGGGAGTGCTCAATCGACCCTTCTTGCAGGAGAAACAAACGCAACCATCAACACCAATGCACTTACATTACTTATAATGGACTATTCTACACCTTGGATGGATGGATGTTTGCGCGGTGTTCCTCCCTGCTGGTACACATTTTGTTGGAGAGTACGACCGGAGGACACACGTGACAATTTTTGTGAAAACATTGTGATTATTTTGCCGAATGCACGCCTACATGTAGCATGTACACTGCTGCTGCAGCACCGCTCGCTATTCCCCCGCCGCTCATGGGGGGGTGGGTCCGTTGCGCTGCATATTTTTTTTCTTCATAATGAAAAGTCCAGTTCGGTGGTTTTTTCCAGTTCGGCCTAAATAAAATCCATTTCGGCAATCGAGCCGCTGCGAACTGGAATATTTTCCAAAAATATTCCAGTTCGCAGCGGCTCGATTGCCGAAATGGATTTTATTTAGGCCGCACTGGAAAAAAACACCAAACTGGACTTTTCCACTGGTGCGGGGAAACCCAGAATTGTCGCCCACAGCTCTTATCTATTGAAATAAGTCTATGATAGATTAGCAATGAATTCATAGCGTGAGCGAAAGGCTACCTGTATGTCTACGGTTTCCCAGACAGCATACAACGATATTTCCCCTGTGGGTAACAGGCTCAACAAGGCAGTTTGGTAGCCATCTTGTGTATCTATCTCTATGTTATGTTGGGAAGTTGTAGACGGAAGATTTAAGGGAACTCTGTCACGTCAACAACAACAAAAAAATCTTACACGAAAAAATTACGAGGAAGAGCAAAGTGTGGTGGAAGATGGGCACTGCTGTCACGCACGGAACTACGTACACCAACAGAGTAAAGTGCGGTGCCATGGCTGATGGATGCGATGCTGCTGTGTTCGTTAGCATTTGAACGGGGCACCGGCGAATTGGCCGCGACCCCTGAAATGGCCTGTTTGGCGGGCCCCTCCGCAGAAGCAACAAGTGAGACAGGCCCACAGCCGAGTACACGGCCGGCGAGCTGTGGAGAGCGGAGAACAAAGGGGTGCAAGCCATTTCAGGAGGCAGTACGCACCTTTTTCTTGTGATAATAGACCTAGTCATAGCAGAATGCGGAGACCGGCCAGCAGAACGCTTGTGGCGGGACTTTGTGCAGCGGCCAGCAGCGTGTCCTACGCCGGAAGAGCACTAGACGCTGGTTCGTGGGAAGTCGTCAGGGGAGGACAGGATTGCCATCGCTCGTTCCCCGCCTTCTTGTGGGCCGGTTCCAACACCGGAGGGACTCTGGAGGTGTGTACGTGTGCGCTCGCGTATGGGTTAGACCTGGTGTGGTAGCGTGGTAGCTCAATAAGCAGTGCACCGCACAGAGAGTTCGGAGTACCGTGCAGCTTTCAGTTCCGCCGCTGTTTTCGAGTTGGTGACAGCGGGGTAGCTTGCATTGTTGCGCGGCTCTACCGCGGTCTATGAGGTGATTAAGTAGCTTTCCTCCCTATCGAGGGCCCCGGTCAACTGGCGACACACGCCTCTGTAACCTTGTACACGCCTCAAGCCCACGGCCTCTTTTAACTAGTTCGCCAAGAAAACAGCTGTTCATCACTCGAAACTCCGATTTCTTCCCTTGGTCTCTATTGGCGGTGGCCGGCAGTTGGGACCGGAACCTTATTTCATTCCACAAGAGCAGAGAGCGTGGTGGACGCAAAGACCGTTGGACCAGTTGCTTATTGTTGGGCTCTTATTGTGGTTTGGCTTGGGAGTATTGCATCTAACGCAGCTATTTTGTGTGTGTACACCTTGTTTGCATCGCCACGGCGGTGCCTGTTCGGAGTCACTCGCTTCTTGCATGGGCAAGTGCGCGAAGGACCTCTCGACAATGTTCTCTTTTTCCGTGAGGTCTGACACTACAGCAGCGCCCGCCGTGGGGCTCCCGCAGGGTACACATACGAGCCAGCTGTGATATTTATGTAGGTCGTAGGCATTGTCGGTGGCATTGTGTCACGAACGGTCGACGTGCTGTTCGTGCACGGTGCTTGCACATGCACGGGACGGTGTTGGCATGTGCTTTATGGCCCAATCAAGCAAGGGCTTTCGTGAGACCTGCGGCTCTTGCGGGTACTACAGTTAGGGGTGCCAATCGGTCAAATTTCCTATACGAAAAAAATTCAAAAAGTGACCTGGACCTTCCAGATGGAAAATCGCTCGAGTCAATCAAATCACATAAAACGCTCCGAAGAACCCCGACAGAACCAAAAACACCCGGCTCCCACACGCGAGTGCGACCGCTCTGCCTCCTCTCTCTTAGCCTTCTCCTCCTTCAGCGCCTCGGTGCTCCCTCGCGCGAGCTCCTGAGCAATGCTGCACCCAGCGGCGCTCGCCGCCTCGCGCTGTCTACTTTCGATCAACTCCTGCTCCTTTTCTACCAGCGCTTTCTGCGCGACGGCAACACCGCCCCTTTCGACCGCGCGCTGTGTGTGCGCTGCTCCGGCCGCGTCGGCAAAGGTCCGCCCCTCCCGCTCTATGTATTTGCGTTCGTTTTTCTTGAGGTTGCGACGAAATCGATTTTTCCTCCCGCGCCAAAGGCCGGGCGTTTGCGTTTTTTGGGGACCTCGACCGCGGTGCTTGGCGTGCTTGACTGGCCATTTTCAGACATGCGGTTCTCGCTGGTAGTTTGTGCGATTTTAGTTCGATTTCTTGCGTTGTGTCGCTGAAAACCCGAGGCTGTGCGCTGCGGATCCGCTGTTCTACGATCACCAAACGCGGCCACGAGCGTGAGCCTTCAGACCGAATTTCAGAGGGTTTTCTGTGTTGTTCGCCCGCCCTTTGAACGTCAGTAGAAAACGAACCCGCAGTCACGTGTAGATGACCTGTCTCCAGATGTGTGTAACGTAAGAAGAGCCACATCGCTGCCTGGACGCAGGGACTCTTGAACAAACATACGGAGGATAAAGTATACTTTGATCGGTATGATTTCAAGAGCTGAGCTGAGAACCAACAATCCGCGTGCCCCCCGTTTTTCCCCAAAATCCTCGAATAGACCGGTCACTTTTGTGCCGCCAAAATCGGCCCGATTGGCACCCCTAACAGTATAGGTAGCAACGAGCGTTAGCTGGACCACCGCCGTGCGTAGCCCGTAAACCGCAAGCTGCTCTGAGAAGCACACACAAAGCGTGAAATACTCTGTGCTCCAACAAGGTCACCCATCATCACCCATGACGGATCAATACGGTACACATAGGTTGGTTGTGTGATTTCGTCCGCGCGGCCTTGCGAACACCGGCGAGCACCCAACGGGCCGTTACGCGTTGTAAAAAAATTGGTAGTATGTGGTTTCAGCACGCACCACCGTTGTAGGTGGGTGTGCTCAGGCGTCCGTCGATGATATCAAGACGCCCAGCTCTCCAGCACGAGATGCCAAGTTAACTACGGCACTGTTTTATTTGGAGATTTATGTAGATCCGAACGAAAAGCAGCAGCATCCCCAAGAGCGCCCCCGGGTTTGTTCCGAACGGGTTAAACCCTTCAGGATACCAAAGACACGCCGACCTGTTGTCCGCCGCAATGATTCAATGAAGTCTTGGTTAGTTGTCAATGTGCTATGACCTCGCTTCGTATTTGAATCTGCCGTTGATAAACTCGGTGTATCTGCTTGGCTGCCAAGGGCTGGTTGATAAATGAAGCTTGCTAGGAACGTAGCGTACACGATACCCTCCGGCACAATGTCCGCCGTTTCGTAGCGCTTGGATCGTCACGCCTCCTTTCCTTTCAGCTTCTGTCGCGAACTTCCCACGTCTTACGCGTTGCTGAAGGCACTATTGAGCCACTCCACACACATGGCATGCCGGATGCTTCCAGAAGTGAAACGATGGTGGCCGTGCTCGACCAGGCCACAGCCGCCGCAGCTCTGGCCTAGTCCGTTCACTTCCTTTTTAACCTTGTTTTCCTTGAACATTTGTTACCACCTGCTCCGTATTGCCAACAGGAGGGCTACCACCATGCAGCGACGGATGCCTTCGAGGTTGCGGAGATAGTAGTCGACGCCGCCGCTTCCGCGAAAGAGATGGAGGTGGTCGTTGTGGTTCTTTCCCAGGTGGGCGGTCGTGGCGTTTATCATTTTTCACCGCTTGGCTTCTTTTTGGGGTCATCGATAAACCACGGGTCTCAACACAAGCACGCCATGCCTTCCACCCTAATCAGCAGAGTGCGTGCCCTTCGTGAGGGGCGGAGCCGTTGCGATCAAAGTCAATCGAACATGCAGTGTTTGTTTTGGCTTGTTTTTCTAGGATTCTTTGAGACCAACCATTCGGAATCGATCGACTCAAGCTAGCTGCGGTCGCTGGTGTATGTTGTTAGCTGGTATCAGGCATGCATTAAGTAGATTAGATCATTGCTTTGTTGGTACCCGAGCATGTGCATACACCCCCTTACGCTTTCACTATCGCTTTAACCTTGCGGGAGATCGAAGCCTGCCAGAGAGATCGGTGGTATCGATGAAGACTCGAGAGATAGCACGCTCCACCCCCTATCTAGTCGTTGGCTCTTCCAGTGTTTTGGCTATCGGCCAAACCTCCTGCTTCGGAGTCATGGCGGCATTCAATTCATGTTCCGAAGCCGTAGTGGTTCAGAGTGCCCTGTTTGTGTTCTCGACACACGGCTGCTAGCACGGTCTCGCTCGTACATCCGTGCCTGCCTGACTGGACGGCTGCAAGCACGCGACAAAGTAGATGGTGCCGCGTTGATTGCCTCGTGGCGGTTACGTTGATTGGTCTGTGGGCGGTGTTGGTTGGCGTGAGTACCGTAAGAGATTTTTTTCATGATCGTCGTGTTTGTCACCTCGTCTACCTCCACCCCGGCTTGCCAGAGACACCGCGTTACGGTGTTTGTTGCCCCACCAACTCGACGCTTCGCCCCACGCCACCTCGATCAACGATGCCGGCAGGTTGGGCGCGCGCGCTGTTGCTCGCTCGATACCCATGTACTGACGCTCGTCACACCTCGATTTTTTGTCCCATTCGGTCCACTCAGCCCACACCCAGAAAAAGCTCTCGCGATTAATTTGTAAGCAGATACCTCTCCCCTCGTTGCGTAAATGCCAGGAGGATCGGATCGTTCCGGTGTAAGGATGCGATTGGTTTTTTAACTTGTCGACTTACGTTTCTCTGCCCCTCCATTTCGGCTTGTGGTGCTAAAGGTTTCCACTGACGTTTTCTCTCCCCGTTCGTTTCGGCGTTGTTGTGGTTCACAGGGGAGCTCGTTTTCTACCTCCGGTGTGAGTGACGCCAACGCCGCTGCTAGGTCTGCGGACGGAAGATCGCCGCTGCACGCCAAGTCCGCGAGCGCCACGTTCCCGTACACCTACCCCTCCCCTATCACCTTGCGAAACGTGAGAAGAGCGGCGGTGTTTGGTCGCTTTAACATACAAAAGGGGTTGATGAGTTGTTGGGGTGTTTGTCGGCGTACGAATGCCTACCGCAAACCCCAGAGTGGTGCCTTTTCACCTGTTGGCAGTATTGTATTGTTGGTGCATCGTGCTGAGGCTTCGTCATCAACACAACTGGGCTATCTGGTTAATATGTGTCCAATAATTAAAGAAAATGGACACGCCACGGACGACGCTTCAACGGCACAGCAGTACCCGGTGTTGGAAAGCCAGCTAAATCAATATACGGCCACCATCTTTCCGCACCGACGGCACCAGATGATGTCTCTTATGTGTGCTGTTGCTGCTACCGTTGCTGCTGCTGCTGCTGGATGTATCAGGCGCTGCCGCTCTTGGCGGGAGAGCTCGAGGTCCCCGTGCACACGCTTCTCCTGGAGGAAGTGATACCCGCAAGCTCGTCGCTCGGGCTGCTGGACGACGGAAAGCTGGACTTGATCATTGTCACCGTGCCGGAAGCGGCCACCATCGAGGTACAGACGGGAGCATGAGACTTCATGTTCCGGGGTTTCTGCTTTGAGGGGCTCTGTGCTGCGTGCCCCCCCCTCGCCCTCCCCCCTCCCGAAGAGAACATGTAAAACGAACGATTGTCTCCTCACATCGAGGTCTTCAAAGACATGAAAATGTCGGAAACATTCCATCACTGGGTCGGCCAGATATTGTATGGATTGTGCTTTGTTGCGCTCGTGAATTATATGCTGGCTGGTACTGTACAATCGTTGACCTTAAAATGTTGTGTTGTGGCAATGGCACCATCGTCTGCGACATATTCGTGATCCAGCCCCCCCCCGCCGCCCTCTCCTCCTGGGATGGGATTCCTAGCCGTGATTTTCAGACCCGGGGCAATACGAAGAGCTCACATCTTCTCTCCAGGAATCGATAAGGTTGATATGTAGTGCGTGCCTGAGGACCCCGCTACAATATGGGAATGAAAGGGATTAGCCGAGGGGTATTTTTTTCGTCTTGTCGAAAGAATCGCGCAACAATCATAACCTTCAATATTGTGTGATGAAGGTTAATATAAACGACAACCCCGGCGTTCGCCTGGATTATATGTCCCCTTTCAATCCGGGTCTTAATCATCTTTCCTCTTTCAATATTTTTATCCCATCGTGTCTTCAATTTTTTCGGCGCATCGCCGCAATGCGGCTGGGCGGAGCTGAAGCTTGTCCTCAGTCTCTTGGTAAGCCTGGACATTACATATATGCGGAGTATTTTTTGGCGCGAGTGATCCTTCCGTTTGACCACGGATTGGAGCTCCCACTCGGCAGAAATATTGCCAGCGCTGATTTAAAGCAAGCAAAAAAAAAGGCGTTACCTTATCATTTGTTGCCTTCTATTCCTTTTTTTTCTTCGCCAGGAAACGGACGCAACAGTAAGCACCGTGACATCGTCACTGGAGGAGAAGAGCGACGGCAGATTCATCTTCTTGTGGACGGGGGACTTCCACGACGAGGCTTGCGGCCGCCGGTGCGCTGAACACGGAGAAAGAAGAGTCTTTGTATGCAATATGTAAATAGTGGCCCCGGTGTACTGCCGGTAGGTGCCAGACAATTTTCAACGGCATTATTCACAACATGAAACAACTTTATATTCCATCTGTGCCAGACGATTTCAACGGCATTATTCAACGGGCATTTTAGCGGAACCACTACTGTACTGGCACCTACTACTCCGTCGCTTGTTGCACGGGATGCACGGCCGGGGCTGGTGCTCGGCGAGGCTGCCGGCTGGATATTGTTTCGGTCTCTGCGAGCCTCTGTTGCAGTTGGAGAACAGCATGAACGCGTGTCCTATTATTAAGTGTTGCTCTGCTTCTCGAGTTTCGAGGTCGACATCCAAAGCCCAAGAGTACGCACAGCGACACCCAAAAATTCTCCCCCGTCACCCCCCCCCCCCCCCCCCCCCCCCCTTTTTTTTTTTTTTTTTTTTTTT